AAGAAAAGGTTTGCGGGAAGTATCATGCGAACCACCATGAAACAAACCGTGGAGAAGGAGGGTCACAGCTTGTGAAGAACTCAGCAGGTACACACCGAGACGTCTCTCAGTGCTTCCCATCTCGCTGCCTAGCTTTGTTAGACCAGGTCAGCAGCGAGATGCCTGGTCCCCCTGCTTGCGTGATGGAGACATCAGGAAACGCGGAACCCTTTGGAACAGTGGGTGACACACACACACACGCAAAGGCACACGCACGTACACATTTTACCTATTGCATAGACTCAGACGCTCGCATGCATATGCTCTACCTTCAATGCATCCAAAGCATTGCTCAAGTGCTACGTTTCCATGTTTGACTTGTTTGCAGACGCCATGGCAAATACGCATCAAGCAGCCACAACAGAGGTTGACTTGAGATACGGAAACACGAAGTGCGCACTCCCGATGGAACAGTTCCATGGTGGCTAAACTTCAGCTCTACGACCTCCCGATTTTCATCAGACTTGAACCAATGTGAAGTAACCGGTACGAAGGACAGGTACTCCCTTGCCAGATGGTGTCTCGAAAACCACTCTGCTCCACAAAATTAGTGGACCATTGCAACAGCAGCACGTCTGGGATGTAAATGTGAAATGTGGAAAACTAGGTCCTAGGTCAGGACTTTTGACTTTTGGTAGGGACGCATTATCAACACCACAGTTTTTGAACAACAAATATATCAGATATATCTGGTTTCTGAGCAGAAGAAGGCTACCCATTGAAAGTTGTTTGGGCAACTTGGGCATAGGGTTTAGACCGCCCGGGATTGATTGAAGCAAATGGCTATGGATGAAGCTGCGCAGAAACCGTTTGTGTCCACTGCAGCAAATCAAGGTAACCAGCCACTGTACAGGAACCAGAAAATGAGAGTTCTACACACTGGGGCCAGCAGCTGCTGAGTTTAAGTGCCAGTATGATCTGGATTTTTTCCTACGTGCGCGACTTGTTGTCCCAGGTCATTGCAACCAATAGGCCGCATGACTTAGATAGCGCGGGCAGCTGAGGTCTGTTTATGCTGCCAGGAATTTCAGCATATTTCAGCGAATGAATGAATCCTCTTTTAAACTTCATATTTTTCAATCTTCCACGAACACTGCAAGTGACCTATTGAGGTTTTGTTTGGATCCCCCCAGGCCATTCTGGACCGGTTGGATGAGAGTGTGGAGTTTGGCTTGCCTGACATCGATGCCCGGAAGGCAGGCCTTGGCAGCGAAGTATTTCCGAGTTTATTTCTTTAACGTAGGGCATCATCACAGTTGCAACGCTTGTGAGATTTTGCCTTCAAAATAATGATTTGCTCCTGTCAGGGAATGGTTCAGCTGTACTATGACAAGTACATAGCAAAGCCGCTGAGACTTCCGACAGTTAGGCATGGTTTTCTTTTTGACCAAACAAGATAGCATGCTGTTGGCCATCATCGCATGATTGTTGTCAACCAAAATTTGTGCGCAGATGGAATACAACAAAGCAACACTGCAACTCCTCGCAGGAACAATTCTAGACGATCGTTTAAACACCAGGAAAATTGGTGCGTCAGCTTGGTCAAAGCTCCAAAATTGGTTCGAGCCATCATCAATTTTTCTCCAAATATGATCGCTATTTGGATACTTTCGGAATCTTCCGCGCCCTGCTCGTGTTGGTGCCAGCGCAGCAACCACTATGCTACGGAAGCCTCCGCGGGAGGCCTAAGAAAGTCTTGTCCAACGCTTCATGTGGGAGAGAGATCGGAAATATCAAACGACGTGCCAAGGGAGCAAACTAGTGGGTTCAGAAGGCGGTCGAGCCCTCAGCCGCGAGTCTCCAATTGTAATGTGATTTGCTGGAGTAAACACACTGCTGCGACTGGTGGCCAGGCTACCTGGCAGTCCAAAACCGCAGATACCAAGGCAAGGGTTTGATGATATTGATGACACAAGTGATTCCTGAAATGTGAAACTTCTTTGCACATTCGGGAGTTGTGCAGAAGTCTTTGCAGACTGCGTCAGGGAAGAAGAGGTGGACGAAGACGCCATGGCCATTGTTGCAAATCGCATTCATGGCTTTAGTGGCTTGGCGAAGCAGTTCTGGCAGCCTTGTCAAACTGTTGGCAAGTTTTGCTTTGTGGCATTGACTTGAGACGTGCTGCATTTCAGCAAAGTTTTGGCAGGCGGCCGAGAGATCTCGAAGCTCTTCACATCTCTCCAGACGTCCCATGCTTGTCAAACTATACCTATGCTCAAGATGAGACAGACTCCCTGACCGTTCACTTGGTTGTGGATCAACCCAAACACCCCTGATGCTTCGCAGGCGATCAGACATTAAAGATTTCCTTGCGAGAAACATCACAAGTCAACTGACCCGACTTTTCCGGAGAGAGTCATTTCGCACTATGAACTTTCTCTTGCTCCCAAAGCTTGTTGCACATCGTCTCTAGCTTTCATCACGGGGCTGCTCATCGCCTTGCAGCGTGGCATTTTGCTTTGCCTTATTTTGAAGGTTGATCTTTGCATGTGTCCCTTCACTTTCCTTTTGCAGGGTTCGAGAATCTTCGCTCTAGAGTGAGACCCACCCAAACACCCCTGGATGCATCCTTGCTCCAGAGTGGGCGGGATGAGCAGCGGTTTCGTCCTCTGACACTGTTAGTGGTGCGGTGTATCAAACACCACGGCATTCTTGTTGGATTTGGACCCACCTAAATCAGACGGAATAGACATAGTCAGCGCAGTTTCGTGAGCTTTGTCCTTTCTCCAACTGGCCATGAGGCATGTTCTCTATAGCGACCGGGCCCATGGAAGACCCATTTGCACGAAGTCCATGTTGCTGGAGGCCAGCTTGGGAATCTAGCTTAAACTTTACATAACTGTAAACTTGCTATGCGTTGGAATGACTTTGAAGGCCGCATTTCAGTCATCACTGGAATGCCGCGCACTGCAGGTGGTTGACCAAAAGGTGGCGGAACACGGCCGGAGCCATGAATTCCAGGCTTGCATGCTGACCTTGTTAATCCATGTTACTGTAATCCCAATTGATCCTCAATGTCATTGACTGAATATGGTTTAGACTCAAACTGGACAAAAACATGGAGACGTTTGAGTGTCTTGCCTTTTGCCTAGCTTTGGGGTGCTTGCAGACCACCGGGTACGAGTACCGCCACGCAGAAGCCCATAACCATGGTGCACATGGTCGGGGAGGTGTTGAGCGTGTCGCTCACGAGGCAACCGAAGCACTCGCAATTTCCTCACCATCATATACATGGAATGACCTACAAGAAAGCTACTAATAGCGATTGCCTCCAACCTAAAAGCGATGGCCTCCAACCTAAAAGCGATGGCCTCCAACCTATCATATAAATTGTGTTTGCTTTCATACATATATATATATATAATGTAAGGTTTCGGCGCTATCGACTCTCACATTTCAGGTTCAGATGAACGGCACCGTTTTGTCTAAGGGCGCACCTTAGAGGCCAGCTTTGCCAAATGGCATGTTGGCTGTCTCCATTTCACATGTTCACTTCCATTCACTTCCTTTTGCTCTGATATGTGGAGAGTCCAAATTTGAAACTTGCAGTTTGCCAGTTTTGCCGGCATTGTTCTCGACCTTTCCAGGAGTCACAATCTCCAGATCCATGATGCAGAGGTGCTTCGTTCACACTTTGCCCATGCACTCACAATCAAGTGTCAGTGATTTGCTGAGGCAAAAAGGCTTACTGACTGGCCTTTTTCTCAGGCAAAGGTAGGGCTATAGCGGCTAAACCAACTCGCTGTTAAATTTGCCAAGATTTTTGGCGTGTGCTGGCTTGCTGCAGTGTGATTCTTTCGCCTGAAAAGTGGGCAGCGGAGCTTTAAATTTGAAACACTGTGAAACCGATACTTGCCATTGCTTGCCTACATTTCTGTTCCCTTGATGCACTTAGGTGATGGAGAGAATTTATTTTCCACTGAGCTGCGGGTTGGAATCACATGTCTTTCACTGAGCAAAGGTTGGCCGGCAGCAGTCTGATTTCTCCCCGCAGACGCATTGTAGGCTCCTGTGAGCACTCACGAAAGGAGGTGTACCAACCGGCCCGCTCAAGAGCAGGGCCGTGTTTTTGTCACCTCCCTGGCAATCTTCCTCCCTCTTCCTCCCTCTTCCTCCCTCCTCTCGCCTCTGTGAGCAGAAGGCTTTGGGATCATGAATGGATGCTCGGAAAGAACACTCGCTGTTACTACTAGCTTCTTGTTACTACTAGTAAGGCACCTGTTACTAGTAGCGATGCACCTGTTACTACTAGCTTTTTTTTTTTACAGTATCCGTAGATTCCAGCAGACTCTACACAATTTGGGTTTTGTCGTTTCCGCCTCCTTTCAGTGTTGCTCCAGGAGCCGCGATGCGTTTCACTGGGCAGGAATTGATTGGATGGGGCTCAGTAGCAGAGTAAAGTAAACGACCTGGGTGGACTGAGCCAGAGGCTAGTGAAGCCAGAGGCTAGTGAAGCCGCAGCGTCCAACCCACCATTTGTCGTTGCATCGTTTCAATCCAGCACAATCTGGCCTTGCATGTCCTTTGTTCGTTTATATAAACGAAAGCGCCAACTGCATCCCACCACAGCCTTTGCAGAAACTTTTTGGAAAAGCAATGAGCAAACACAAGCGTTTTGATTGTAGATATATAGACCAGAGATGTGCTGAGCATGACTCGCAACGGACAAGTGACCGAGATAGTGGAAGATGGTAAAGAGCGCTCATTGCATTCGACAAACAAACAGTCTTTTTAATCCTGGAGTCCTGGAGTTGAATGCTCAGCATCTCTGACTCGCCTCCTACAGGAGGCTGCTAACGAGTGGCGGATCAGTCGTCAAGTTTGGAGCTGCTGGATGTGGGTGATAGTCATGCTACTAGTAGCGATGCACCTTCTAGTAGCTTCTAGCTGCCAGTAGCTACTAACAGCGATGCACCTGTTCCTAATAGCGATGCACCTGTTCCTCATAATCATGTTCACAGGTTGACTTGATGCAGGCCCTCCTCAAAGTTGCCTTGTACAGTTGGGCTTCAGGTGAGAGTGGGCTTTGCTGGAATCTGACAGTGCACTATTCGGGTACAAAAGTATGATTTAATTTTGCATTGGCTCTTGTTCCAATGACGCTTTGGTTGGGGGATCCGACCAGTCTTCATGTGCAGAGATGCTGGCATCTGCACGCTTTGGGCAATGGACTCCAATATCGTCTCCAATGGTTGGTGTTCAAAGGAGCTAGCATTCAAGCTGCTGAATGTTTCGATGCACTTCTGCTCTTGTGATGCAGTTTTTAGAGATGAGTAGGCAGCATGTAGACATCCTTTGCAGGGTTCTAACATGTTCTAAAGGAGGATGCAACCCTGTTGTCGGAGCACACAAATTGCGATGAACTGGAATCAAAGAGCAGTTCCTATGGTTGCTTTGGCCATTGTCACTTGGATGGATATTTGCATTCTGCGCCAGACAGTGGGAGCTATCACTACAAGAAGTTCCTGAGATTATCTAATATGATAAAATACATTACTGTAAGTATCGTTTCATATGATACAATACTTTATAAAATATATGTTTTTGCATGTTCTCTTCGTTTGCACATTCGTTCTCTGTGCCATCCTCCAATTCCAGTCTCGGGTCTTCCACGTGTCAAGTCTGAACAGTGAGGTGATTCCACTGAAGCCCAAGAGTTTTGGCAACTTTCGCCAGGCTTTCGCAAGTTACTTTTTTTTAGACATGGCTTGCTACATTTGCTGTGGCTTGTTCCTGTCTTTGGGCAAATCTCCTATCGCTTGGAACGGATTAGTTGCAATGACGCCAGCTCGTATCATATCATTCCATTCTTTTGATTCATTGTTGCTGCGAGAAAACTGACTTGTGCGGTCGGCCAAGGTGGGTCTTTGCTGTGTCTCAGCTGAAGCAGAAGTAAAGGAGCTGGAGCCAGAAGAGCTTGTGCGGTGTCTCGCTGGTCACAGGCGCTGCAAGTGGAGAAGCTGTGCTCGCATACTCTGAACGGCGAATAGAATACAGTGAGAACGGCTTTGAGGATGATGCTTCTTGCCTGGCAGACTTTGACTGCCAGTTTCCCAGGGTAAAGTTGGGTGTGGGGAGTGAAATCCACTACTTTTACAATGTTTTACAGATCGCTAAACGATAGTGTCAGATGCCTGGCAACTGTTCTAAGAATGCTTATTTGTGCTCTTGATTTGCACTAATTGCAAGAATAATGATTGAAGCCAAGGCAAGTTGTCACTGGTTTGAGCAAAGCCTGCAAGTCTGTTGAGGGCAAGTTCCTTGGATACTTACTGTATATTACTATTACAGTAATGCTGCCCCTTGAAGCTCTCCCTCAGAACAAGCTAATGTGTTCTCGGCATTCTCCCAACCCAATTTGAGAAGCGTCGCCAGCAGAAGATGACTTTTGAGCACTCAATGCGGGAACCGAGGATTTCTGGGATTCGGCGGCAAATCCGGGATCCCTCGGAGGCAGAGCTCTGGAGAAATCGGGGCAATGGTCTCTTGCAGGTGACAGAAGCCTGGTACCCCGGCATGAGACCTGGCTGAAGGCCGAAGAGGAGGCGAAGGGACAAAAGGGACGACCCAATGACATTCAAACGATATTCCAGGATACCAAGCTACGCTAATCTATGAAAGCATCGAGTGATGCCTCCGGCCTTGAAGGTTCCAAAGGAGCCAAGCAAGAGTGCAGAGCCCGCATGCCGCATTATATACCCACCTCGCAGAATACCCTCAGAATGAGAGACCTGCCATGTGGGTTTTACTGTTTCTTTTTTGAGCAATGCCGGAACCAATCCTATTTCCAGCTGTGCATGGTGCTCAGATGTGCCTAGCTAGGATTTGAGCTTTTGGGCCTTAGAATGAAAGAAACATTAACGAAACAAAGTTGAGGAACACTACGCCACTACGCGGTTCATTCCGTGTTACTGTACTTCTTTTCCTATCAAGAGACACCCAGGACAGAAGTGAAAGTCCCTGACTACTCCAACCTTGGCGATGATGGCCTGCCATTGTGTGTAGAAGTGGAGCTGGACCCGAAGAAGGACTTCAAACAAAATGCGAAATTGTGCTTCAAGCAGGCTCCTTTTGGGTCCCTACACTGTCCCAGTTCCAATTGAATCCATGTCGGACTTGAAAGAGGCACAACCTTTTCGATGTGTGATCTACATAAATAAATATATATATATATATATTCTGATTGTTCGCTGATACAACATCGCATTTCACATACATGAGAGTCACTTTTCACTTTCTATGGCTGTTAGGGCCCTTGAACATTATCGGATACGACCCGAAACTTGAACCCGCGAGAGGTAGAAACAGGAGTGGACTTCGTTTGCCATCTACCCGCACAACGAGATTGGTAGCGGAGCGGGTGGTGATCCAGCTTGCCGGTCTCTACGGTGCCCTACTTGTTTGTGGTGCGCTTCGCTTTCCTGGTGAAATACGAGGGTAAGTTCATCACCTATGTCAGGGGCAGAACGTGGGAGCCCTAGAAGAACACCAGTGCGGGTTTTGCACCTCAAACCGGTCGTGGTGGTCCTTTTGCCCCAGTTGCACAGGCTGAAGACGCTTCCTTACAGTTGCCCTACACGCCACAACACGGACGAGGTGGACTAGACTCAGGCCTTGCAACAGCCTGTCCAGATGCTGACGGACTCACACAGAAGACTTGCAGGAGTTATCGAAGAAGATTGGAGCTTTTTGAGAAGCAATGTGAACGAAGAGGACGTGACACTATGGTGGAGGGCGCCTATTTGGTGATCAGTCGACTGCGTGATGTTGCATGGGATGCTACAGAGCAACTCAACTTTGACGATGTTGAGGGAGCACCCAAGCCATTCAAGACTGTTTTTTGTTTGCTTGATAAACTATACCAGTACGAAGATCTGATTGAGGCTCCCTCCAGATGTGATGAGTTCTTCAGTGAGTTCAGTCGCACCAAAGGTGACGAGATGCAAGCCTACCTCATTAGGCATCGGACTCTCCTGAAGCGGATGAAGGAGGTCAATGTCGATGTTCCTCCCCCTTTTGTCTGGCTGGCATTTGTTGACAAGAGCAGGAGTTCCTCGTTGGACGCGCGTTCAGACCAAAGCAATGTGCTCAGGTGACTTGGAGTACGAGAAGGTTGGAAAAGCTTTGATCTGCGTGTTCGGTGGAGATCATCGACCAAATGCCAGAGATCTTGCCCGTGCAGGTGGATCCAACAAGGACGAAGCCTACTACAAAGAAGATGATGAAGAGTGGTATGAAGAGTTCATGGCAGAGGAAAGCTATGAGCCTGAATGGTACGATGATGAGGCGTACTTCGAGGACGACGATGATGAGGTCCCTCGCGTCCAGATGGATGGGAAAACCCATGCTCTTCAACAGACGCAGAACTATGAGCCTGGGTTTGTCAAGAAAGCCGCAAAAGCCATCTACAATGCGATGGATAAGGCATGGATGAGAAAGCAAATGATGACGATTGTGGTGACGGAAGAAGTTGAAGAGCAAAAGAGCAAAGACAAAGAAATCAATGAAGAGGAGAAGCAAATGGCTAAAACACACCCGCAAGCAGCAAAGAGCATTGTAGAGAAACTACATCGCCAACTTGGACACCCTGGCCGTGATCGGCTGGTAGTGGCCGAGCGAGAAGGAGGATTTGATGAAAGTGTGGAGAAAGCAGCAAAGGATTTCAAGTGTGACGTCTGCCAACACTATCGTTCCAAGAATCCTTCAAAACCAGCAGCTCTACCATTGACAAAGCACTTCAACGACGCTCTGGAGAAAGATGTCTTCCACATTTGATGGAATGATGAAGAGAAGAGAGTTTTGGCAATCATCGACATCTTTTCCAAATATGAGATGAACGCAGTCGTAGTAGCTGAGACGGAGCAAAGCAGAGCTGCAAGTGCTGGAAACATGGATTTCTGTTTTTGGCGCACCCAAGCGTTTGAGGACCGACGCAGCAGGTTCACACATGAGTGAGGCCTACGTGACCTTCATGGACGATCGCGACATCAAGCTAGAGCTCGTCCCCAAGGAGGCGCGCAACAGGATGTGAACCGTGGAACGATTGCATGCAGTTCGTAGATTACAGATTCTGAAGATGAAGCAGGAACTGCCACATGCTCGGTTGGAAGACATAGTTCCCATTGCTTGCTCGTTGCGAAACAAGTTGCGAACTATTCATGGCTCCTCTCCATCGCAGATGGTTTTTGGAGTCAATCACCATGAAGGTGGTCTCATGGATGAACCGGCCATGACCAATGCTGCCGATCCATCCAAACAGCATCAAGAACTACAACAGATGCGCTTGATAGCTGCCAAAGCCTTCCGTGAGGCTAATTCAAGTCAAACCTTGCGAAAGCATTGATGAGCAAGAGCCGTTCCGAAAACCCACAATTTCATCCTGGTGATTGGGTTTACTACTGGAACTTAGCAGGTGGCGTGGGCCTGGCATCATTTGTTCCACGCAGCCTCGTGACGACACCATCAATGGCCCCCGACCTTCAGTCTACTGGGTGGCCCACAGTGCTGCATTGCTTTGCGTCGCGCCCGAGCACTTGCGCCGCGAGACACCTCGAGAACATTGCGCTCGTCTCCAGCGTTTGCCTCATACTGCTCAGACCGCTGACCTTGAAACTACTGTTCGACAAGTTCTTCAGCCCGTCCGTGGTCCTAATCGTTTCTTGACTTGTCAAGGGACCCCCCAATCGCGAATGCAATGGAGGCAGATGACACTGCAAAAGAAGATGGTGAAGAACCCAACAGGGATGAAGACGCTACAGATGCTTTAGCCCAAGGGGCCAATGAGACAGGGGATACAGCGGAAGCAGAAACACAACAGCAGCAGCAACATGAATGACAGCAACAGCGCGGTTGAACCACAGTCGGCAGCTGCAGAAGCGCCAGCGCAAACCTCCCCTGATGAAGATGAAGAAATGAAAGAAGTGAAGGAGAGAGGACATTCAAATGCTGAAGATGATGAAAGGCCAAACAAGTTTGAGAAACCAATGGATGAACCTTCAAGCTCCTCACATCCAGAGCCATCACAAGGCCGATCCAGCAGGAGCCATCGCCTTTCAGTCCTACAACATGTCCTCCTGTGAAAGATGATGATCCGGCCTCCCAAAGATTTCTGGACGTGACTGAGGAGATGAGCCCTGATGAAGAGTTGATGGCCGAATCGTTCAAAGAGAAGCATTTGAGGCCTGCAGATCGCAAAGCCTTCGAAGAGGCCAAGGGCGCAGCTTCGACGGTGTGGATTGAGAATGCAGCTTGGCGCGCAGTGCCGGAAGGTGAAGCGCAACCAGATGAGATCGCGCCGGCGCGCTTTCTCCAGCGATGGAAGCCAACTGCTGACGGGCTATAAAGCAAACGCCCGAGCCATTCTGCAAGGGTTCAAACATCGTGATGTCCTCAATGAGAATTCAGCCGCCTTGGAAGAATGGTTGTCATGCTTTGCGTGGGCCGTTCATCGACGTTGGCGGTTGTGGTGTGCAGACATCAAGTCGGCGTTCATGCAGTCCAAAGTACTCCATTGACGACAGCGCGAGGATCTATGTGCGACCTCCTGCTGACATGCGTCGGTGACTGGAGAGGCTGAGGGGCTTGCGACAAGATGAGACCCTCAAAGCCACCAAGCCTGCCTTTGGAGACGTCAGAGCCCCAAGGCAGTGGTTTGACACGTACTTGACCCAAGGTCACTCCGACAGCAGAGGATGACGAATTCCTGACTTTCGAAAAGGATCAAGACAGGTGGATTGTTGATGGCGTCCTGGGTTTGCGCGTTGATGACTTCCTAGGTGCAGGGGAAGGTGTTGCGTCGTTGCAAGATGTTGGACACGACCCTCATGGAGAGTGTCATGATTCAGTACACCATGCGCCCACAGAATGATGACATTGCGCCGAATGTCCAAATGGTTGAGAATGACACCCCAAACGTGCCATGGCGAGATAATTAATGACGACCAACCGCGCCATGGCGATACGGCGAATGACCCGGTGATTAAAGAAAATGAGGCCTCCGAGTCAGACGGCTACATGGAGGAATGCGCTGAGGAGGAGTTGAGCAGATGGAAGAAGGCCTATGAAAAGGTCTGTGAAGAGCGCAGTCAGCGCCGATGGATGGAGCTTAAGATGATGTGGTCATCGCAAGTGACCGCCGACGTGAGGGGCTACGTGGTGCAGCGCGTGATCCCCCGAGTTCGTCGACGGGAAATCGTGAGACGTGAAAGTGATAGCGCGAGCATTCGAGAGCTTGAACAATGGCACAGGTTCATGAACTCGAGCCTGGTGCAAGTGTTGGAGATCCACATGAGCATGCGTGAAAAGGAGCGGCAGATCAAGATGCTTCAGCGCCCTTTGGTGGTACAACAGGATCAAGCGCCCAATGCAACTGCTATGGATGTGAAAGAATGGGTCGTGAAAAGGTTCGAGATGGGTGAGTTGGCTGACAAAAGTCAACAGACCGGGCTGACGTACGATCATCACGATGACACCATGAAAAGACTTGCCAAGCCAACAACATGGAGCTTGGTTGCATGTCAGCTGCTACGAAGATCAAACGTGAAGGACAAGAACGCCTGAAAGGGCCGAGAAAACTTTTCTGGACAGGTTGCTTTCGAATTTAGAAAGCTTTGGCCTGTCTGATTGTTTGCTGATGCAACATCGCATTTCACATACATGAGAGTCAATTTTCACTTTCTGTGGCTGTTAGGGCCCTTGAGCATTATCGGATACGACCCGAAACTTGAACCCGCGAGAGGTAGAAACAGGAGTGGACTTCGTTTGCCATCTACCTGCGCAACGAGATATATACTATACATACCAATTTCAAATTGCGCACCGTCCAGCCCTTCAAAACAGAGTCTTGGGTGGTGGTGGAATGAAATAGTAGGTTATATATATATATACACATATACAAGATGTTCTAAGACCTTTGTGAATGTACAGGCCAGCAAGATAACAAAAGCTATTGAGAAGTGCGCCCCGCTCTTGAAGGCCTGGGGGAGTTCAAACGTTCATAAATTTTCAAATTTATATGTCAATTGGCGAGCGCTGGGCTTCGCTGCCAGGCGCAAGAAGAAGAGCTTAAAGTTTGGAAAGCAACCTTGGCCAAGGTAGAAGGCAGACGGCAGATGAGTTCCACAGAGAACATGTTTGCAAGGATCTATACTAGACTATACGTATATGACAAATTGACGACGCAAATATTTTTGGAAAACCTTCAGGAACCGAAGCTGGACATCTTCAAATCCTGACAGCAAACATGTAGCACAGCAGCACAGCATGTGGGCCTCTACAGTACCTGTTTGACCACTCTACAAGCGCCAGACTCTTCAAAGCTCGTTTGTGGGTGCGTACACGGTTTTCTGCGAGGACTAGCTTTCGTAGGAGCTGTGATGTCGACTCAAGTAACATTTTGATCAGGTAGATTCGATTCATGTCTATGAACATGATGTTGCGATGTGATGGTGTAAGATTCCTGTTGCGTTTACGAAGGGGATGGGGGTGGGGTGGGGTGGGGCCGAAGTGGTGACCTTCGTTGCGAGTGTAGCGTAAGATAATTACGCAGATGATGTTGCTAGGTGATGTAGAATGACTATGCAGATGACCTTGCTCTGTGATGTAGGCGTGCCATGTCTACGTGTAGATAAGATGAGGTTTCATTTGGAGGGCATCTGCCAGAACACAATCGGATGAAGCCTTGCTACAGTGGTTGCAAACTAGATTTACCTGGTGAAAGCGTTGAGTGCACTGGTCGAGGGCATGTTCAGTGGATGGTCTTGGCTGCGCATGAAGACGTGTACGTTTTTTGTTTGTCACAGTCGGCTCAACATGTGAGCGCCCGACCCAGCACCTGCTTGCAGCTCACTCACTACCTAAACAAGGGTCCAGGTTTTCAAAGCCGCGTTCGGACAAAGAATACCTGACTATCAGACATGCGGCTGCTTACAGTCATGCAAGTGTAGTGCAAATGTTCACTGTACGCAACGGGATACTTCTGCGTTCCTCAACATGAAAGGACATTTGCAAAAAGATGAAGCTGGCCTTTACTAAAACATTCTAAAACTCCAGTTCAGTGTGTCTACGCATTTTGACGCATTATTCTTCAAAAACGCACGTTTTCCAAACATTTCTTTCATTGCGTTAAAACATTCACATTTCATCAGAAACACAGACAGGCTCTGCGTTTACGACCGATCTCGTGCTTACTCATCTCGTTTTGCTCGGAGAACCCCTTCGGCAGCCTCATTTGTTTTGGGTGACCCGCAAGAACATTCACTTTGTCACGAAGAGCAACTCTACTCACGCCATGCCTGCGCAACTCTCAAGCCCGAAGCGGGAGCCTGGGCGGGTTGCGTTTCCAAGGACAGTGTGCGCTATCCTTAGCTGGAAGGCGTTTTGCTCAAAGCGACATGCAGCCATCCAGCGTAGCGCCAACCTAGTACATTGCGACGATATGCTCATCGTTTACACGCACTTGCTTACGTGACCTTACACAACTCGAGTGTTGGCCTACATTAACCCTCAAAGGGACGCAACAAGGCTTGAACAATATGTATGTAATATGATGCATGCAAATTGGTAATTAGATGTAATATGATGTAATTAGTATGTGTGGACGCTTTGTAAACATCGGGTTACTTTTAATGAGAAGGAGTCTGTGCTTCGCTGGACTCGAGAGCGCAGGCCCACAGCGTGACTTTGACGCAGAGCAAGCCCCAAGCCTAGATTTGAAAGGGTCTTCCAAGCTGAACTTGCGAGTGCGGCTTCATACCACATGTCACATGCCAAATGGATGTTTCTCAATCGCGGTGTTGGTTTGGGGGCCTCAATCTTGCGCATGGCCCTGTGTCTTTCTTTGCTTGCGCATGGGTAGCTGTGACTTTTCCCTGTCTGCCTTTCCCCTTGCCACATTACTTCGAAGCGCTTGCTGTTGCTCCACCCTAATTCCCATTTCAAGCCTTTTCAAAACAGGGTCTCGTTATGTCTCGTTCTTTTTGTCATCGTTCTTTTTGTTTACCGCCGGCAAAATCAGCGCCAAGCCGCCAAGAGCTGCGTTTTTGCATGTCAAATTGTGGCGGGCCTGCTAGCTAGGGCCTTGGGTTTGACGTTTGTTGTTTACCTTTTTGACGTTGGTGGATGCCAGAGAGTACAAGAGAATCTGGTACACGTTGCTTTTCGCGATATTCGAACGCAAGAAGTGACGATCTGAGGTGAAGCAGTTATATGAGGAGTTGTGCGCACAGCGTTTCATCAGGATGGCTCCATGACATATCGCTTGGGGGTGTGCAGTGCAAGTGGACCTTCAAACAAATACCCACGCGCATGCCTAATAGCCGCTTCTCAGCTCCATGTACATATTGGTTGCCATGATTGGATTCTTAACTATGCTATAATCTTGAGATTATTTGCGCGAAACCGCTGCTTTGGTTCTTGTAACGCTTTGAATGCTCGCAAAGGAGGCCAAAGCCGAAAGTACCTAGCGAGCAGGCGCGGCTAGGGTGTCCGTGAGACTCCGTGAGTCTATGTGTGCGAAAAATTTTGCTTTTAATTAAAGGGGTAGGCCGTAGAGGTAGTAGCTAAGTAGCTAGTAGCTTAAGTGGCTACTACTTAGGACCCAGGATTCATCCAGAACGCAGCCCCCGCTGCCCTAAAAGGCGGCGGGGGGAAGCTTCCTTGAAGAAGCGCTCGCGCTATTCATATGATTCCTAGATTTTTTGGGAAACTTAACATTTGGCTCGAGAGCTGCCAAGTCGGAGCCACAAGAAACATCCGGCGCAGGTACAACAGCCAGAAGAAAACAAATGGAGAAGAAAGTACGGGAAGGACACCATTTACGGTAGGTCCTTCTCGTTTGGAAGGCACGATGTGATGTTCCATACGTTCCCTAGTCCCTTTCCTTTTCTTGTGCCGAATTCAATTTTTTGGTGAAAGCTGAAGCTGCGAGGACGTGGACAGATTCCTCTCTCCCAATGGCCTAGAGGTCCTGGCGGGGCGATCTGCCAGGCCCTTTTTTTCTCTTATTTGATCCACGAGGAAGGCCAATTGAATTGTCGCTATGTCAGAACATTTCAAGCGTACTCATACACTGTTAGGCTCATCTAGCTTGAACCGGGTGTCTTCCAAACAGCAAGTGGGTATTTGATTTGGAAAAGTACATTGTTGTCAAGTTTCTTGCTGGCTCCGTTAAAAGCATGTAACACAGCCATGTAGTTTATTTGGTTCTGCCTGGGAGCAAATAGCTCTAAGAATGAGGCAACATCCACATGCGCTTGACACACGCAAGACTGACCTGTATATACAGTCATGGAACTTCAATTGCTTAGATTCCTTCGTAGTGGGCAGCCATGCCAGCGTGGAGACGTGATGATGATGATGGGGACGTTACGCGTGAAGAGTCCGCAGAGACCATCTCCTTCTTCACAACCGCAACCACATCATCCACCGCTTCTGGCGCCACAGCCAAGCACCACTATTTCAAAAGTTTTGCGCCGCCTTTTGATAGAGCTTTCGCTTCCAGATGACGTTGCAACTTCAATAGGTCCAACTCGTACTTCACTATTTGCCGGATCTTTGTCGACCCTCCGCGGAGTCATGCGCTGATGTAGGTCTGATCTTCTTTGCGGCGCCGAGGGTTGCCTGAGCCAGCTGGAAGCATCAACCGCTGCGCTTACATGCTGATTGCTCAATATGCCCAGCTTGGACGTGTGAAACTTTCTCGCATGACATTTACCTTGCATTGGGGTTCAGGAGCTGAGGCTCGACGATCTTGGATTGGAAGATTATGCTTGGAGCAGTCGGACGCAAACAAATGAAGCTTGGAGGTGCAATGTGCGCCCGAAGCTTCAGTGCCTTGCGCCCGGCCAAGCTCGAGGAATGAATGAGTTGGAGACGGAAAACCCGTCGCAATTTTACCAGCCAAATTGATTTGGCCTGGAAAACCCGTCACGTTTCAGACGCGGGCCCCAACCCTAAAATGTGATGGGTTTTTTGAAAAACCCGTCGCAATTAAGTAAGGAAAATTGAAACCCGTCAGACTTTCCAGCTCACTCCGAACTTCAAAAATTGATGGTTGCTTTTTCCAAAACCTATGAAATTGCGATTGGTTTTTTTTTGAAAAATCCATCGCTTTTCTGGGGCCAGTCAAGCTTCCAGATCGTGATGGGTTTTCTGGCCAAAACCACTTGGCCAAATGGGTTTGGCCACCAAACATGTGATGAATTTTTAAAAAACCCGTCGCAATTTGACCAGCCAAATTCATTTGGCCGGGAAAACCCGTCGCAATTTGACCAACCAAATTCATTTGGCCAGGAATACCCGTCGCAATTTAGCCAGCAAAATTTTTTTTGGCCAGGAAAGCCTCGAACACTTGGTATACCTATTTGCGCTTGGAGTAATTAAGTGTTGCAAAACCTGTGCGGCGTAAAGGACTTGTCGCGGTTTTACTGTTAAATTGTGTTGGTTCAGTAAGGACACCTCAGCTTCCAACAAACACCAAATGGCAGAAGGGCTGGGGTTTTGAGCTGGGCGCGCTTAACCTTGGTAGGCTTTTGACTGCCAGCTAGCTGGCAGCCGGTGTGCCAGTTTACTGGCAATCACAACCTGTTTGAGTTTGTGATGTGTGCTTCTTGAAGCCTTAAGCTTCACGAGGGGCTTTAGGACGAGGTGAGAGTTGTTCGAGTAAAATGGTCGCGTTCGTTGAAGGTTGCCTTGAAGCTTCGTGATTCCTAGAACCGCGGCTTGTTGAGGCGATGTGGTAGCGGGGACAATACCCCGTCACATGGAAGATCAAAGTGAAAAATAACATAAGCGAAGATTCAGCATTGTGACCTGCTGGCTTGGTTGCAATGTGCGCATGGAGCCTGGTAATTGAACTTGGTGCTATTTGCTATCATTATGGTTTTGAATGGGATGCCTCTGATACGTGCAAGTGCTGATTGTTTGGAATTGCAAATTGCAGCGAATGCTGCGAGTCCGTGGAAAAAGCTGCCAGCTTGCGCCTTGGAGTTTACCGGGCGGGTAGAAATTTGGACACCCGCTTGCTATTTGGAGGACACCCGGTTCAGGCTAGATGAGCCTTGTTCCAGTTTCTTGTGAACACCATAACACCGTTTTCTATTTTTACTCTATCTGCTTTGCAGTGCCAATGAGCGGGTTTCTTTCGAGCTGACCCTCAAAGATGCCCTTTGGCTGCCTGCCTCGCAAGATTGCTTTGTTCAGGGAAGATTTGTTTGCACCATAGCTCAACACAAAGATAACTTTTTGCATTCCGGCATTGTCGTCGCACCAAGACTGGGCGTTCTCCACACAGGCCCAACCCTAACTCTAGAAAGGGAACTTGGAATGGTACGCTTTGTTGAGAGTTGTTGTGAACATGGATCCAAAAGCCTACAAGGGTACAAGTTTGGCTTGGCCGGGTTTGATAGCCCATAGCCTTTGGTCATGGCAGTTGTGTTCCCATGCTCCGAGATTCTCGCGAGGGCAGAGATGCGCCACTGTACTAGGCTGGGATAGCGCACTCAAGGCAAATAGCGCAAATTGTCAGTGCGTTTTTCGGGTTCGACCAAAGGCCTCGAGTCAATCCTTGGGTTAGCAGTTTAGCAGAAGCGTTTGACATTTTTAGCTTGTCACCAGATCCTAAACCGTACCTGCGTGGCCTGCGCGTGCATGGGAGCCAGCAGCCTTGGTGGGAAGAAGGTTGAGTTGCTGCTTGCGAAGTGAAGCTTGTGTTGCTGTCGTCTAGAATCCCTTCCCTTGGGCTCGCCCCCAGCATAGTGTGCGGACAGCGCCTTTCTGCCGAGTCCTGCCTAAGGTGCTTTCTTGGCCGAAGGTTGTCCGTTATTAATTGCCAAAGTCGGGCCTCCAATGCCTCCAAACTTTCAGGGTCCGGGAACAGTTGGAGACAGGCCGGCTGCAAGGAGGGAATTCCGCTTTGTTTGGCTTTGGCTTGAGCCTCGAGTTTGCCAGCGGTCTGCCAGTTTTCTAGGAGCTATAGGCAGACGGTGGCCACACGTTCAGAGAATTGTTAGAGTAGTTTTTGCATTGGGTACCGTTTTCCGTTCCACGGTTGCCGAGTCAAGGCGGCTGCGCCCGCCGCGCAGGAAGGCCTGTTTGCCTATGACCCACGAGCTTGGCGCGGTTGTTAAGAACCTTAATTGTTGACGTGGGGCAACCGTCCAACCAATCGGATGTGAGACCTGCTGATTGGCTGCTCACGGCCCGCTTTTGCCCGGCGCTTTTCCAACTTGTATGGAAAAGGCTTTGATGACCAGGCTGGCCCACAGCGTCGCTGCGAACTCTGTGTGGTGAGAGAACACGCGGGGGGAATGCGTTCAACAGCGATTTGCAAACTCAGCTACGCGTGGTCGTCGTTGCAACTAGTTTTGCTGGCGCCAGCCCATGCCTGCCGCCGGCCCGTGTCCGCGTGGCTGGCTGTAGTGCTGTCATTGCCCACATAAGCACTGTGTCATTGCCGCCGCACCCTAACCCGTACCATGGCCCTGCGCCTGCGTGGCAGCCAGCCGCCTTGGTGGGAAGAAAGTTCACGTTTGGCAACGAAGGAAGGCCCACCCCCACGGTTGGGACAACGGGTGCCAACCTGGGTCCTGAGAGGGCTCTTCATCTCTTTGTCGATCCACCGTTGTTTTAACGTGTTAGCGACACGTAGCGGCGTAGCGTGCGTATTTTTGACGGGCAACCACTTCATTCACAACCAACAGTATGACATTGGTTTGACTCACAGTCTCACAGTGTGGAGCAGGGAACACTAAGTCACTATATGGGCCTTCAATTGGTGGCCCAGGTTCCACACTGCCAATGGTATTCCTGGGCCGGGATGCCTTGGAAGAAGTATCGTTGATGAAAGCCAAGTGGAACTTGCAACGCTTTGCTAACTTTCCTCATCGCAGTAGTTGAGGTCGCATGTCACAATCAGAGCAGCTGCTTCTGAAGTGACTGATGAGGAAAGGTTGTGTCCCAAACCAAGTTGAGCTGGCGTGTCTTCAGATTGAAATTTTGAAAGAAAAGCCCATGATACTTTGTTCAGTGTCCAACTCTACATTGGCAGTGGGAGGACCTTGAATTTGCAGCTGCCCTTGCGGCGTGGCATTCGAAGGTGCAGGGGCCCAGTTACCAAAAAACCTTGCAAACTGCTATGGTGCATCGGGGTACGGACTCGGATTTCTCAGGCGCGCAACAAAATGTGGGTTCCAGTGATGTATTGCAAGGTCAGGCCCTCATCGCGAAGACGGTTGAATGAAACTGTGAAAGTTGAAAAGCGCACTTCATTTTGACTTGGAAGCGCACCCTAGAGAAAGCCAAGCGCTCTAGTGGTCATAACACAGCATACCGCTGTACTCGTTCATGGCTCAAGAAAAGCAGGGCGTTGGAACGCGTCTTGCGACTTTTCCGTTTGCGTTTTCAATCGTAGGTTATGAGCCCAAACCACAGGCGCCTGGACGCCCTGATCGAAGAGGAACAGCGCTCGAAGGCTGCGGGTCCGCGAAGAGCCATGTCAACTCCACCTCTAGAAGGTCCTCGAGGTGCACCAGTGGTTTTGAGTTCTGGAGTGCCTGGAAGCCAGGTTCGGGAAGATCGCGTGGGTGCTACCCCTTTAAAAGAAACTGAGGGCGTGCTTATAGATTGGTGAGACCTTCGGCAACACTACCAACAGAGGTTAAGTGACCTTATAGGACACTACATCCTGGACAACAACCAGGTGATCCTGCAAGACATCAAAGAGGGCTGGGCCTCTTCAAGGTCACGGTCAGATGCCGCATTGTCAAGTACAAGGTCAGGGACTACTAGGACCTCTTGCACTTGGCAATGATCAACGACACCAAGGAGGGCATCTTAGTGGGAGGACAGTCCGATCCCCGAAATTCGAGGAGGGTGCCAAGACTCTCAATTGTGGCGGAATTGTGCAAGGTGTGATGGAGCTGGAGTGAATCCTCAAAGGTCCTTGGTCGCGGCTGGAGGCTTGGATCAAGGCTCTATGTCGCCTACGATGGATGACTCCGGGCACGCGTCCTCAGGAAGGCAGAAGTGAGCTTTGAGAAGGAGACGCGAGGGCTGCTGGACGAGAATTGATCCACACCTACATGGTCTTTGTCAGCGACTCCTGGACTACCTCCGGTACAAGGTGTGCAACTGGGCCGACTTCAGCTGCCGTCTTTGCCTCCGCCCAACGTGGAGGGTGCGTCGATCCTCTTTGGAGATTGGCTCACGATGGCCTTCCCTCTCATGGCAGACATCTCCAACTCAGCGAAGGGCTGGTGGGAAGAATCATTGAGCGTGGCGCAGGACCACTAAACCCAATGGCTCACACTCCCCCACTGGGATCGAGCAGCGTGGCATTGCTATATGCGTGCTGGGAGCCTTGCCGGACAGTGTGCGCCGGGTTTCAGGTCGTCAGCTGTCGGTTGCGCGCATCCTTTACAGGTTGCACATTGCCTACCAACCTGGCGGAGGAGCTGAGAAAACCCAGCTGCTCAAGAACCTGGTTGAGGCAAAATAATCACTGCGAGCATCACCGACCTTCTCACTCAGGTTAGGCTGTGGAGGAGGTGGTTGGGGCCGGATCCGATTGTTCTGATGGTTGCAGTTCAGAGGATGATCGATGCAGCCACGAAGATTGGAGGGCAGCAGCTGCCATTCCGACTGGCCAATGCCAGACAAGAGTTGAGAGTGGATCATGCTGCCACACTGCCTCAGGCGCGAGAGTTGGCGGAGTATGTTCAGGCGGCAACCGGTCCTCAACCTACAACGCAGTCGACCTCTACGTCCTTGAGGGCAATGGTTATGGAGGAAAAGAAAGTGATGAGCGTGCTGGGTCAAAGCCAGTGTGCAAGTTCTGGAAGAGTGATGATGGATGTAGAAAAGGGGCGACTTGCGCCGATGTCCACGAGAACGTGGATATGAAGGGGAGATGCTATGGATGTGGTGGATTGCGCAAGAAAATGGCCAAGGTGAAGAGCCCAGCCCCAAGAAAGCTGAGAAGATTGAGACCTCTCGGGTGTCGGGAACCTCACGGATTGGGGACGTGGCTGACAAGTCTCCTGGAAGAGACACTACAGCTACGGCGGAACTGTTGTCTGAGCCAACGTCTTTACAACACGCTGCGCAGAATGAAGGTGCTGCGGGTCAAGGAGCTCAAGCCCAAAATGAAAACAAGAGGTGGCGCAGTTGAACCTTCTGGTTGGAGGAGCCACGAATGGACTGCGTGAAGCTCGCCCTCATGAGCTGCCCCACTTGGTTCCAGCGCGAGTGGGACTGGCCTGGGGGTCATTTACCTTGTTCAAAGTCAAGGATCACAACACGCTGCTCTCGCGTGATCGAGTAGAGGTGATAGTGCCACTACACCGACTGTTGAAGCTGGGCTACAAATTGCAGTGGACTGCAGCTGGGGTCAGAATCCATCACCCTGAACATGGACGGATCGATTGCGTGCTTCAAATCCGAAGAGGATGCCCAGTGCTACCGGAACAGCAATCGCTCTATTGGACATCATGGAGAAGGCCGACGGGGGAGAAATGGTGATGAGCGATCAAGGTCTCCGGAAGTGCCAAGCTTCTTCCAAAGCCAGGATGGCCTTCTCTGCGTTCGGGTCTGTTCGAACAGCAACCCGTGCGTACAGTGATGGACCTGCATCAGAGTTGTCGTCCTGAACGGTGGTGTCAAAGGTCCAAAGCCAGCTCGATGCCACCGCTTGGTTTTCACTGTCACTCTCCTCCCAATCGGCGTGAGAGGAATTGAGGGAACTCCCAATGCCATGCGCTGCCTGCGAAGTCGTTCCTCCCCCACATATCGAGCGATGCCCGGCCAGCAGTGCTCTTCCAGACCACTTTCCTTAATTTATCAGGAGCCTCAGCCGCCTTTTCACTTGCTGGACCTCATTCTCGACGCGGCCGTTTGAGGGACCTTCATCTCCTCCAGTCATGGTTTGACGTAGTCCAAAGCGCCGGCAAAAGGGAAAGGTGCGCGATGGAAAGCTGCACTCACGGTCTGTGTGGACTCCCAGCATCTGCACTCCCGTCGACCGACATCTGCAGAAGATTCGAGTGGCCACCTTAGTGACATCCTGCTGAGATCTGCTTTGCAGGGGCTCTGCCACAGTGATGTTTTGGACGCCCACCGGCTCCGCCAGATCCTTGATGTAGTCGTCCCACGATTGCATGGTGGAGGGCCCTCACATCTTCTTCTTTGTCCTCCTCCACTGGCGGTGGATCTTCACCCAACTCCAATACAGGCAGGTCTTCTTCTTCTTGATGTAGTTCTCCAGGGTCTTGGAGCTCCTCCTCCTCCCTGGCCAGTTTTGGAACTGCAACAGTTGCCACCATGATGTATTTGGCCTTCGTTCCCATCCCATAGTCTTCCCGACGGTATAGGGTTGACGCTGATGTCAAGCCGCCGGACTGCTGCCGTTGAAGTTCCATCGTCCGGGTCCGGGTCCAGGTTGGCCAGTCTCAACAAATACCTCGTCAAGCTCTCCTGGATAGCAGCCACCATTCCTGCATGGTGCCCACGCCGACCACCCCCTCGACTGAACCACACGGGCCTCCAATGTTACGGCCGCTTCTTGACCAGTTCCTTCTCGCCTGATCCAACACGACCAGGTCATCGGTTAACAGGAAAGCAGCCACCAGAACCAATCATGCCCTACGTGAGACTGCCAAAGAATGTGAACTTCGGGGCCTACGTGATGGCAGCCCAGTCCGGGAGGGAATCCGGACTGGGGGGGGAAGTCCTTGCATGTCTTCTTTGTCTTCACCATCGTCGCGCGCTTCTTCATGCTTGGTGCAAAGGGAATCGACAGCGGCGTTGAGTGGCAGCCTGAATGAAAGGGTGGTGTGCCTGGAGTCAGTGTGGTCTTCAGATCGCGGACAACCCAGTGGTCTGTGAAGCATATGGATTGTGTCGACTGGCAATGCTGACTGGATGCAGGTTCTGTGAAACACCGCTGGACAAGCAGAAGGTGATCATGAAGGGTGAGGTGGAATGCGGCTTTCAGGATGGTGTGAATGTGATGAAGAGGTTGGAGGAAGAACACGGGTTGGAAGCAACTGTGGTGTGACCTCTTGAAGGATGTGGCAGTGGGCATTGGATTGTGCCTATTCCCCATGCTCCACAAACCTGGGCCAATATGGTTAGAGGAATGATGCCTCATTTGCTCCAGGTGGAAAGGGCCATCAAGGTTTCATTGCTCTATGGG